TCTCTCTCTCTCTCTCTCTCTCTCTCTCTCTCTCTCTCTCTCTCTCTCTCTCTCCATATTAGTTGGCTTGCCTGTTAGCTTCAGTTGAACCAGCAGTTCGGGATTCAATTCGGTTGGGATTTCCCTTTCCTTCATTGATGAAGTAAATATAGGAAGGTCTTTATTTAAGTTAAGATGTACAGGTAGAAGGAGAAAAGAGGAAAGGGAGAATTCACAGGTACCTAATTTATGTTAGCTAGTCACTTCAGAGTGTTTGGTGAGATTTTTTTTTTCCTTTTTTTTTATTTCTTTTTTAATGTGGGTAAGAGCGGGGCAATTGTGGCCTTCAGGTTTCTCAGACTTGTTCAATAAGGGGGAATAATCTAGATTATGACTTTCTTGTTGATATGGAGTATCCATCCCATCCCATCCCCTCCCCCCTAACCCCCCAAAAAAAAAAAAAAACAAAAACAAAAAACTAAATAAACCCTTGCACCACATCCCTCTTTTCCTCCTCTTTTTGTTTTGAATCTCACCTTTCAAAAATTGGACGGTTTCTATACAATCTTGAGGCATTATTTCTTCCTAGTAGAGAATGAAATTTAAAAATTGTTTTTTATTAAGTATACATATGGGTTGAACATGTTATATCCCAAAAATTTAGGGCCCTAAAATTACTCCTAGAATGGATTTTGCCCTACGTAATAAATGGATGCACCCTCAAGAGCATGAAATCTTTTGGCTTATGTCACCAATTCCAAGATGAATAAATAATGAGGATAATAATTGTTTTCCAGAAAAGGTTAAATACTATTTCATAGAAAGAGTGCAAGACAATGATTTCCAGCCTTAGTCCCATCAAGGATGCTATTCATATCTAGGGCTATCATTGCTTCATCTGTATTGATCATAGAAGTGGACGGCCCTAGTGTGCTAGGATACGTTATGTATTTATCTAATAGGATCATTTACGATGACATGTTCATTTTCATTTCGGGCCTGTTTGGCTCGAAGGAAAATTTCATGAAAATTCCAAAGTACATAGATGATTACGAAAATATAAGTTATTTCAAACTTATATCTGTGAAAATAATATTAAGAAAACATAAGTTATTAAAACTTGACATACGAAAAAAAAACCTAAAGTTTTAATTTTTATACATTTCACATGGTACCAGTCAATTGACATATGCAAATTGGGTTCATACAGTAGTAGTTGATTAAAGGACCTTTTAATTGTATTTCGCTCCTATAGAGGAAGAATCTCTCTCTCTCTCTCTCTCTCTCTCTCTCT